GCGCCTGGGTGGCTCAGTCGGGTAAGCGGCTGACTTCGACTCAGGTCAAGATCTCATGGTTCGTCGGTTTGAGCCCAACGTCAGGCTCTGTGCTGACAACTCAGAGCCTGGAGCCTGCTTCACATTCTGTCTCCCTCGCTCTCTGCCCCTACTCTGCTCGTACTCTGTCTCTGTCTCTTAAAAATGAATAAACTTCAGGGCACCTGGGTGTCAGCTCAGTCAGCTAAGCATCAGACTTCAGCTCAGGTCATGATTGCATGGTTCATGGGTTCAAGCCCCGTGTCAGGGTGGGTCTGTGTTGACAGCTAGCTCAGAGCCTGGAGCCTGCTTCTGATTCTGTGTCTCCCTCTCTCTCTGACCCTCCCCTGCTCATGCTGCCTCTCTCTCTCTCTCGTCTCTCTCTTTCAGAAATAAAAAACATTTAATTTTTTTTAAATGAATAATAAACATCAAAAGAAATTTTAAAAAAAGTTAGCCACCTTGATAACACAGGGCATGCTTCATTCATTTTTAGATTACCATCAGGAGAAATATAAAAAGTAAGAAGAAACAATATGGTAGAAGATCAGCCAAATACCAAAAAATGTGTCTGTAAACCTTCACATTGGATTCATTGACAGTTGGACCAATACTGAAATATTTTCATATACTTCCAGGAATATGTTCAGCTGAGATCAGAGGCAAAGAAATATAAATAGTAGTTGACACAGGATTTAAATGCAGTTCAATGAGTTATTATTTAATCACACTGTGAGAGTGAAAAGGAAAAATAAAATCTTCCAGCATGTTTTCTTCTCCTGCAAAAAGGATCAGGTTGGGTCCGCAATCCATTCTATCTTTAAAACTCTATTTTTAATACAATAGTTTTTTGGTTGTCACATCCATACATTAAGTATAATGAATTTTTAATTGCAATAATTTTTAAAAGACAATGTTAGCACTGTATGCTAGAGCACTACACAGCCTAAATGAAATCAGTGTCAAATAGTAATATATATTAGCTATCAATGTTTTAAGCTCAGGCTTCTCAGAGCCAACCATGAATAGATTTTTGTACTTTTTTTTTTTTTAGCAGAGACCAGAACAAAATTATGCTCCCCCAGGTAGTGCAATCCTGAGCTTAATAAATTAACTGTATTTCTTCTTTTCTAAAAATTGTTTATTTATTTTTTATTTATTTGGAAAAAGAGAGTAGGGGAGAGGCAGAGAGAGAGAGAGAAACCAAGCAGACTCCATGCTGTCAGCACATAGCCCGAGGCAGGGCTCAATCCCATGAACCTTGAGATCATGACCTGAGTCGAAGCCAAGAGTCAGATGTTTAACCAACTGAGCCACCAGGCGACCCATCAACTGTATTTCTCTTACAAATTTCCTGCATATCCTATAAAAATGACATATACTGATACATACTAGGGATCTATAAATATCTTCAGTAAACGGTGAGATAGTAAATATGTTGGTCTTTGCAAGCCACGTAAGCAGCTATTTAACTCTGCCATTGCAGCAAAAGGCAGGCATAGACAACACGTAAATAAATAACCTAGGATACGTTCCAATAAAACAGGTAGCCAACTGAATTCAGCAAAGGGCTGACATTTACTAATCTGTAGTACATAGGAAGAACCCAATATGATAATGTGAATGTAAGAACAGAAAGAATAATTCTGATATTCCTGTAGTAGTAGTTCAGATGTTGAAAGACTGACACCCCAGAGTTTAAAGCATCTGACTTTAATAAAAAATTGTTCACAGTTTCTTAAATGTTTTAATGTACAGTATCCTGTGTATGGAAATTAACTTGATACAGTGCAAATGTGTTTCTCTTCTCACTTGGATTAAGCATAAACTTTGTAAGGCATAATCTAATTTCTTTCAACATCTTCCTTGACATTACAAGTTGAAGAGAGACTCAGAATAATTTGGGGTCAGTGTACAGTTAAATTTTGCAGAGTATTTTTTTTTCTATCACGAGCAATCATGGAGAAAAAAAACTGATTGACTTTTTGCAAAGCAAATTTAGTAATTTTTAAGAATTTTTAATAGTAAAATTTCTTTCTTCTCCTTAGCCAGAATGTTATCTGCTTTAATGTAAGTTATTTTTTTCTTCAAGGTTTTGCTGCACTTAGAAGTCACACATCATCTTCCTCTACTGATAAAAATGTGGACATTCTGTCAATTTCAAATAAGGATCAATGCAGAAAATGCCCTTGTACAAAAAGTAGCTTTAGCCTCATGTACTAGAAAACTGCTTACTATCTTCACTTACTTTAAAAATAGACACTGATCTATAGTGAATTAAATGCATTTATGTCATATCAAATTAAGACTTACTATCCAAGGTTAAGTCATCATGACAGTTGTGAATGGAATGAAATTTTACTTATAGGTTAAAAGATGTGTTTTTCAGTCACTGTTTTAATGAATACAGTTTCAACCTCATGTTTAATCTAAAATCATTTAACTATGAATAATAATATCTTTTTTTAATGTTTATTTATTCTTTGAGAGAGAGAGAGAGTATGAGCAGGGGAGGAGCAGAGAGAGACACACACACAGAATCCAAAGCAGGCTCCAGGCTCTGAGCTGTGAGCACCGACCTCAACGCAGGGCTCGAACTCACAAACTGCAAGATCGTGACCTGAGTCGAAGTCAGACATTCAACCAACTGAGCTATCCAGGTGCCCTGAACAATAATAATATCTTAAAAATAAACTGATCCAAAAGGAAATGATGTATCATACTGCCCCTGATTCAGAAAGATAGTAGATAAAAATGTTCTTAACTGTTGACATTGAAGACAAATTAAATTTGGGTTCCATAATCACACTGCTATTCAGGAAATGCAAAAAGAAATGCAAAAGAAATCCTGATGCTCAACAGTAAACACTATTTTAAGTCTCCCTGATTATATGTAATATGTGCCTCTTCTCTCAAGGGGTTTATAGAGATTTAGACAGCCTGTAAGATTAAGTGAGGAATTAAACATTTACATTTTAGGATCATCAAGAAATTTAAGCCGATCTATTCTATTTATTAACATGCAGTCTTCCTTCAAAGCTTCAGATTTGGATTTAAACAATATTTTTATGAAGAATCAACAATGCAAATATATTTCATTTTAGTTCTGGTAGATGATGACAAGGTACGGAATGATATGGAAAGCGCCAAGTGAAAAGTGAAAAAAAATAGGTAAAGTTATGAAACTGTGTCTTGTTTTGCAATACCCTAAGATGTGACTACAATTTTCAGGCAGCACAGGTACCAAAGATGAGTTTCAGATTCACAGAGAGACACAAATAATGGTCAGAAAACAGGTGAGGCAAAAATCTTTAAAATCCCTAGAAGAAAGTAATGGGAAAAGCAGGATTTCTGGACAGTTCTTAAGTGACCAAGATTTTACCCACCCCACCAAAATCAGAGGACAATGTGTTGGAGAATGTTTTACATGTAAAGAATAAGGGTATGTTTGAAATCTGGGGAAAAAAAATCACATCTTTTTTTTTTGTAAACTGGAATAACCATCTTCTTGTGCAACGTGACTATAAATGATGCCTCTCATGGCAGGGCAGAGAAATGCTATGAACCCAAGATCAGTCCTTCTCCAAGTGCGCGGTGTTCAGAGCATTTTCTCCCACTGATGAAGCTGTTCTGTATGTTTGCTTGGAGATCCTACATCTACTGGAGAATATTTGAATTGCTGAGTTCAAGGTGACTTTGGCCAATCTGTATACATTTCTCCCGGTTTTTCCGTTGTATCTGACACTCTCTTGATTTTTATCACAGAGAGTGCACGCAAATTAAGTTTCCAAATAAGACACCCTAAGATCACTCATTTCAAAATAAATCAATAGCACAGAATTATCAAGGGACTCGGGGTCAGAAGCTCTAGGTTAAAATACCAAACTCTCCAAGCAGCTAGGCAATTAGCAATGCTGATGTGGTTAAATTCTTTCTCTCTCCATATCTCTCTCTGCATATTTATCTGATCCAACTCTCGGGAAGGAGTTTTATTTTTTAAAATAAGACAAGATCTGTGAAAGTACTTAGCCAACAGAGAAGTCCCTACATAGGAACAGTCAAGGGGATGGAACATTAGAGGCACCAGAATGGGAGGCAGAAGACCAGGTCCTAGCTCCACGCTTAATTTGAGCCATCCACGTGATGCTGAGGAAGCCACAGCAGAGCAGCAGCGGCAGAATCGATGGAGATGTGGAGACGGACAGGGCTGCCTTCAAGTCATTAACTGCATACCACTGAATGTAATTATTATTGTTTCCCTCAGTGCCCAAATTTGTAAAGGGTAGATGCTAAACCTTCGGGAAGTTTCTGTGGGAATTAAATTACATAGAGTTGGTAAGGCACACGCCACAGCGATCAGCGCTAAGTGGCTTCTCTGTGATGGAGCTTTCCCGTGGGACACGAGGTAGGTGATGGTGAACCTACCATCTGTGCTGGCAGGGAAACCTTCAGCATGTCCTACACGTGTGAAATCGGATTGCCTCGCTATTTCCCCTCTGAACATGTCTATCCAACCTGCACGGAATCCACACACTTTATTCCTCCTGCAAGGCTGAAGTCCAACCCCACCTTCGGGAAGTCTCCCATCCTCAGCCACCTTCTCCTCTGAACCCTCCAGCAATGGCTGCCTTCAACCCATAATTACCTCTGCCGTATTACCAATGCCGCACTTCTCTGCTTTTTGAATTCTTTTTTTTTTTTTAATATTTTTATTTATTTCTAGGAGAGAGAGAGAGAGAGAGCGTGAGCAGGGGAGGGTCAGAGAGAGAGGGAGTCACAGACTGAAACAGGCTCCAGGCTCTGAGCTGGCAGTCAGCACAGAGCCCGACGCGGGGCTCGAACCCACGAACCGCGAGATCATGACCTAAGCGAAAGTCGGACGCTTAGCCGACTAAGCCACCCAGGCGCCCCTCTGCTTTTTGAATTCTTATTGATTGATTTCTTGGCTTTTTATTTTTTACGTGTCCTATTTACCTCTATGTTGTATAGTTCCTCACAGTGTCTTCAGTAATGCAGGCTCCAAGAGGAAGATTTTTATCTCGGCTGGTGTGATTTTCCCACATGTGCACCGGAACTCATGGTCTCCATTTCTCTGCAGGCCCACCAAAAGAGATGTAACTATAAAATACGTATTGTTCTTTTTCTCTCAGCCTGTATTTTCAAAATGCATTTGCATGCGCTGGGTCACTTCATCCTCTACCATCCCCCAAAATGATAGAGAAGTACACACAGTGCCACCTCTTAAGGTGGGAAATTCATTCATCAGGAGATGCTGATCAGACGTGACCAACACTTCACAGAAAGGTCACTGCTGCCTCGTTATCCCTCCTTGTTTTCATTAAATAAACCTCTTGACCCAAAAGTCACATTAAAGATAGTTTTTCTCAGAATGAAAAATCAAAACCTTAAACTAATGTTCTACAACTATATACACCTTAGTATTTCAATGGAAAAATGAAAACATTTACTTTGCATATTCAGACACGTGTGCACTGACCTTTACTTGAAAAGTTTGTTGTGCGCACGTACAGATGCAGCAGCATATATTCTGTGACTTTGAAAAGTAGGAGCGAGCTGGGTACAGTCCTACAACTGTGAATGTAGCCAAACTGTGTGTGTGTGTGTGTGTGTGTGTGTGTGTGTGTGTGTGTGTGTTATTTTCTACCGGGGACTTTTACACACTTGACAAAGCAGACTGTTCTTTACACAATATATTACTGAGTTTGACCCACAGCAAATTCCCTGGTCAAGAGCTTCTGAAGCATTCTTTTTTGTCTTGCTGAAGCTTGGATCTAGTTACTAGTTCAATATAGGCAAAAAAAGATGCTGATGTTACAAAAATAAACCAAACAGCTACAGAAATAATTAATAAGGCTTCTTGGCCATTGATCAGCCCCACAGCTGTGCTCATATTAAGTGCAAGACAATTTTTGTCGGAAAGAACTACCTCAAGGCATGGCATGATACGAAGACGGGAGGTGAAATAAAACGTAAATAACTTGAATATTCACTTGCTCTGACCATGCTGGAACACCATTAAATGTTCTTAAATGTGGGGCACCTGGGTGGCTCAGTCGGTTGAGCCTCTGACTTCAGCTCAGGTCATGATCTCATGTCTCATGGGTTCGAGCCGCACATCACAGCTCAGAGCCTAGAATCTGCTTCAGTTTCTGTGTCTCCCTCTCTCTTTGCCCCTCCCCAACTCATTCTCTCTCTCTCTCTCTCTCAAAAATAAACAAACATTAAGAAATTGTTTTAAATGTTCTTACAAGTAACAGTTTTGGTTTTTTTTTTGTTTTTTATTTATTTCTAGGAGAGAGAGAGAGAGAGACAGTGTGAGCAGGAGAGGGTCAGAGAGAGAGGGAGTCACAGATTGAAACAGGCTCCAGGCTCTGAGCTGGCAGTCAGCACAGAGCCCAACGCGGGGCCCGAACCCACGAACCGCGAGATCATGACCTAAGCAAAAGTCGGACACTCAACTGACTAAGCCACCCAGGCGCCCCAAGAAATTGTTTTAAATGTTCTTACAAGTAACAGCTTTTTTTTTTTTTTAGGTGCAGAGGTATTAATTTATCAAATGCGATAAAACTCCCTAGTTTTGCATTTTAACATCTCCTGAGGCCAGAGTACAGCAAACTCATTCTCAAAACTTAAGCAGGTTAGTATTTTGACCACCACCTTGTGAGGATGACTGGTCAACAACATTACAACAGAAGATGTGGTCACATGACAGCATTGAGCCAGAACAGCCCTTATTCACCGAAAGTATCTTCAAGAACTCATTCGACAAAGGTGGAAAGATGGTTCTATTCCTTGTAAGTAATTAAAATACTGTTGAATCTGACTACGTTTTCACCTGGCAGATTAGCATATTTTTACTTCACCATGAGAACAAATTAAAAACGCTTGGGCACAGTGATGAAATTAAATGGCACTGTTTTCAGTTAGGCAAGTGCCCTTTGCATCTCCAGATGTGAGTGCCTAAGTACAGCACAGTCACAGCACTCTGACTAAGTGGGATGGAACCATTTAATACACCATAGAGGAGAGGATCATGTCCCAACTGGCTTCAAATAAACTGTTTTTCAGTTAAAGTACAGGCATCTTTTACTCAAAATAATGTTCATATTTAGAACACATGGTTTAGTTACTGGAAATGGAAGAAATGGACTCTTCTTATACTATTAATACAGCTACATTTGGATTTAGTAGTTATTTATACGACATCCTGGGAATGCTTCTAGGATTTACAACATTATTTATAGGAGAAAAAGTGTTCTGAATTCAACCAACCATTTACAAATGGACTGCTGGAAATTTCCTAATAAACCCACCCCATGACAATATACAGTGTTGTTTAGTATTTGGAGTAGTGTTTTATTGTGCACTGAAATTTTACCTGTAGTGATAATATGACTTGCATAAGCATGAGGCATTAAGAGCAAGAGAATGATGACCTTGGATGAAACCCTAAGATGCTGGTGAAAATTTTCCAGTGTGTTTGAATCTTATGGAGTTATTTATAGGAAGTAAGGAAAGTGCCTTCCTAGGTACTTCCACATATGTGATAGGAATACTGCAGAACCGGAAAATGACAAACTCATGCACTTAGATTCAAGGGGCCACAAAAGACCTATTTCAGTGAAAATTCTCCATCAAAGTGTACTTTAGAACCCCGGCCCCACCCTGGGTAAAGAAATAGAGATTATCGCATTCTATCTCAGAACTCAGGCATGGTGTGGCTGTCAATGGTGGGATAGGTGACATCAGACTGGTGACAACCAGAAATCAACCCTGCCCATTTGGAGGTGAGCTGCTAAAATTCCTAGATAGATAGAAGCCAAATTCAACACAGAGAAGATGGGTCCATGGGTAAGTCAGTCAGGTGCACAAAGGAAAGCTAACAGGAGTTAAGCGGAAGGATGGTGGATGGGCATCAAGGTTAAACACTTAGGCTTTGGAATGGATCAATCAGGAGTGTACATTCACACTTGCCACTTACTGCTTGTTCAACCTTTGCCACATTCAAAAGAATTTTTAATTATATTTTTAAAGAGAGAGTGCGAGTGGGGGAGGGGCAGAGGGAGAGAGAGAATCTCAAGCAGACTCCACGCTCAACACAGCATTGGCCAACACAGGGCTGGATCCCATGTGACTATGACATCATGACCTGAGCAAAATCAAGACCCAGACGCTCAACCAACTGAGCCAGCCAGGTGCCCCGTGATGCACCATGGAAACTCAGGTTACTGCACCAACTAATATCATTTGGTGAAGAGGCATCCAGAGTCTCAGAGGTCAATGTAGAACGGCACACTGGAGGAGGAGGAGGCGGCAGAAAGGGGACTGGGGCATGGAGACGCATCATACAGCAGAGTCTCAAAGTCTTAGGCTTTGAATCCCTCCCCTCTCCCCACCCGCAACAGCACCACCACCAAGGGCAGGCTCTAAGATGAGCTCAACGAAACAAATTCAAACCCAGGGGTAAGGGAGCTACGCAAGGGCACCTTTCAGAAGGGCCCACTGCTCCTTCTTTTTCAACTTCAAGCCCTTACCATCCACACGCACATTTGGATGATCATTACTAGGATTGGCATTCCTGAAGCCAAGGTCTGGGAGACTTCCAAGTTTGGCAGTTTAGGGTTTCAGGGAGGACAGTGATGTCACAGGTCATGGATCTGGTCATCAGAACCAGAAAAGGCAGGTGCCATGTCACAAGAGAGTGACATAACACAATCTGATTATCATATCATTTGCACAAAACCTTGAGGACTTTATACTAAGTCCCACAATGGTCTTAAAGATGGAAGGCGGTTAAACTTAACATACAGGATTAAGTGGCCCAGCCGAAGCAAAAGGACAGATGCAGAGACCAGGACATCAGTTCCCCCAACGGGTTAGACAGCCACACATAGAGGATACATTGCCAGTCGTGTGGAAATAAGCCTACTACGTCCTGTCTGTGTACCAAATGCATGGGCACTTCATACCATTAACATATGTGGTTCAATCTCCTCAAAGCTTGCATGGTATGTAAAAATTGCTTTTGCTCTCTCTCTTTTTTTTTTTTTTTTTTAAGTAAGCTTCACACCCAGCACGGAGCCCAACGTGGGGCTTGAACTCACGATAATGAGATCAAGACACGAGCTGAGATCAAGAGGTGGATGTTAACAAACAGAGCACTAAGGCGTCCTGCTTCTGTCCTTTATCAGTGGGTGTTTTGGCATCTGAAATTACATGGTAAAGGTAAATTTCTGTTAACTACGACAGAGAAGCCTCAAAAACTTTAGTGTCCCAGGGCACCTGGTTGGCTCAGTTGGATGGGCATCCAACTTCGGCTCAGGTCATGATCTCATGGTTCCTGGGTTGGAGCCCCACTTTGGACTCTGCTGACAGCTCAGAGCCTGCAGCCTGCTTCCGATTCTGTGGATCTCTCTCTCTTTGCCCCTCTCCCACTCGTACCTTCTCTTTAAAAAACAAAAACAAAAACAAAAAAACAACCTTTGGTGTCCCAGTGAGTGAGTGGTTTAAATTCCTAATGTGTATGTGTGAATGTATATATGTATACATATACAATTACTACTGTAGCAGGATTCTCACACAGAGTCGTGACATTGAGGCTAAAGTTAAACAACTTTATTAGTGCTGGCACTAGCTCAGTTGGGTTCATACCTAAAGAACTGAGTCCAAAGGTCATGTGGTGTAGTTTTTTTACTCATTTCCTACTTCTTTGTCTGCCAAATATGGCAACACACAAACACACAATCTGATTAAGTGGTCTCATGTTACAAGGTCATGAGGGATGTCATATATGCATATGAGGGATGTCATATATGCATATAGCCAGGTTGCCTTGAGGGTTTTTTTTTTTTTTTTTTTGCCCCTTGCTTAGGGAGGGGACCTTATCACACTACCTGTAGCTGGTTTGATATATAACCCATGAATACAAAGAATGTAACATCCATTTGGGCATTCAAGATGGTGGCAACTGGATGGAGACTTCCACCTGGATTCAGGACTTAATACTTAACATGCAGTTGCTTTTCTCCCACAACATTCTTAGCACTCAACAGAAATTGAAAATATATGGTG